CTTCCAACCGTAATGATTCTATGATTCTGAAACCTCGTATTTTTACCCCTTTCTTCTCCAAACGGTTCTCAAGTCAAATTTCTTTTCTGTGCCTAGAGCCTGTATGCCCTTACTGTTATGCTTCAGCTTTCTACAGGTTTTGTTCACCTCCTTTCTACATTCTTGCATATGTTTGGCTGTTACGACTCCTGTGCGACCTGCCATTCTGGTGCTCTTGATGGTCTTTCCTTCAATGGGTTCAGTCTCCTCCCAGCTCTTTCAGCTTTCCTACTTTGATATCTGTTGCTGGATGACTTCACTCGCTTGATTTTAACTTTATGCAAGTTACTCATAAATCAGTCTTTGCAGTCTTGAATAATTTTCTCCACCAACATTTTTATCCTGTCTTTTTGCATTTCTTCTGTAAGCTTATCTCAAAGGAAAACATAGTATGGCTAGAGCTCTATGGGGAATGCGCTCTGCCAGGCGAGTTCAGGGAAAGGTTGCTGTGGTTGCTGTTGAAATTACTTTTTTCCTTCGGTGTAACTTTTCTGTGCCAGCCTTGGTGGAAGTTACTGTCACCATAGCAAAGCAAAGAGGTGGGAAAATGTCTCTGTCTCACCTCACAGAGTTCAAGTTGAACTGCCGGAGAAGGTGGCCGGTGCTAATGATCCAAGCTGTGGACTGGGACAGCAAAGTCGTGGGCCATTTTGTTCCGTTTTGCTGACTCTGCTGCCAGGGCAATAACCTACTCCATAGGCAAGGTAACCAGCAGCTGGGTTGGCAGGGTTGCAGTCTGCTGCAGCTGTTGGCTGACATAAACGTTGGTTTGAGTCTCTACAGATTTTATGTTGGTAATCTTGACTATTAGTTATTTAATTTTCTAATCTTGTTTTTTCAAGTACTACAAAGAAAGAAGCTGCTTTTGTTTCTTTGTCCATTCTGTCTTGCTTCTTTATTTAACTTACTGTTTTCTAAAATGTTTTTCTAGACTAGTAAATGCAAAATATTACTGAAAAGTAAAGCTTAAATTGAGATTTATTTTTTTTAAAGAATGAGAATTTAAAAACATAAGGAGCTGTGTTACGAGTCAGGGGCTACTTGGGATATTTTTACTCTTACAGATCTCAAAATACAAACAGAAGCAAAAAAGATATCAAATTTGTCATTGTTTTAGAGGAGCAAAAATGTAGTCAGTGTAGTTAAATGTTACACATTTTTTCAAAATATAAAACTGTTTTCATTAATAACATTCTCAATTTAAATAAACATTTAAAGTTTTGGAACAGTTTAAGAAAAAGAACTTTCAGTGTTTCAAATGTCAGATTTTCTTTGTGTAAGTTGATAGTGTAAAATTTCAATTTATAAACTGTGAAATGATCAGTGATAGCTTTAATATGAAAAATACAGCACTAGTTATTAGACATTTCAGAGGTCTGATGAAAGTATTCATTTCCAGCTAGATCATGTCTAAGAATTTAGCTGAACATCAATATTTATATTTAGGTAGTGCAGGAGTTTGAATCATGCCTTCTTTCAAGTTCTAAATACGGACTGTGTTTACATTAGTGAATCATAAGCATAGAACTTAGAGCTGAAATAAAATTTTTTTCTCCAGAGGTGCTTAAATATACATGACCCAAATCTTGGATCATACGTGTATAGTTCCAAAGAGCTATGTACTTGAAAACAAAAACAAAACATTAAAAAAAAGTAAAATTCATCTGCACATCTTGCAGTTTCTTGTGTTAGGTAAAAATTAGTGTCATGGAAGTAAGTTGATCACTTCTAATTTAGAAAAAGAGAACATTACTACCTTTACATTGCCTTGTGCATTTACTGCACAGTTATTCTGGGTAAATCTTGTTCATCATAGGATCCAAGTTTTATTTCTTGGCACTTGTAGTTTGTTTGATTTCAAAAACGTCCTAACCTTTTCTATAAAAGTCTAGTCTGAAACATGGTTTTTTGGACTAAGCATACACTATATTAATTGCACAGTACAAAGAAACTGCTGAAGAAATGTCCCTTTACTCTGTGAATATGGTCATTTCTTCATGTGTTCAAAACATACAGAAATTCTCTAGAGGACAGGCTCTGATCACTTTGGTTGAATGCATTAAGTGAAATCAAAATGGCTTTATAAGTTTTGTTTGCAGGCTAATTATTGCCCAATGTCTATGCTGCTGACTGTTTCAAGAGCAACTACAGTGGACAGAGTAGTGTGTTAAAAGAAGCAATGATGGAAGAGAAGCAGGAAAGAAATCTTAGCATGTTCAGTGTACAGCATAAACAAGTTTGTGATGACAGAAGCTCTTCTGAAAGCTTGACTGAGAAAAGACACATAATTTGTGTCATTCATACTCTTATCTAAAATGTGTGTCTTTGCACTGAGATAAAGTAGTACTAGAGTTTGGGGAAAATATCTTACACTGAAAAGTGTAGTACTTTGTGGTTCAATATGGTTTTTTGGGAGAAGGAGGGAAAGGGTTGATAAGGGTTTTTGTGAGTGAAGAAAAACATCATAAATACTAGACATTGATTGGCATTGGTTTATAATACTTGGGCTGCATCTTTGTTTTGTGCGTGGTGTCCAGCAGCCTGATCTGGCAGCCAGAGCAGGGAAGTATCTTACTAACACTGGTGGCATGATTCAGTGTAGTAGGGGACACAACTTTTTTACAAGTTTCATTGTCAAGGGTAGGTTCTTTTGAACATGTTTTAAGTTGCTGCCTTTTACCCTGGAAGTGGTGCTTTAGATTATTTTCATCTGTTTTCTGTATCTGCCTGATTGTTTTCAAACTGCAATATAGAACCTCATTAAATTGAACCAGTCCATGAATGTGCTCTAGCTTTATGTGGAAAAATGTAATTGCACAAGACTAGTTTTAGAAGTCTTAACTGTAAGTAGCCTGAAGTAAAAGCAAACACTACTTTTGTTTTAGTATATCTTTGATATTTCACATACATCTTTAGAGGACTGCATGTGCTTACATGGCTTTTACATATGTAATGCTTTATAATACACATTTCCAGGGAGAACCATAATGGCTAGCCTGAGGTTTTTAACTCAAATCTAAAGTAAAACTAACCTTTGTTGGGAGGGAGCTGGTAATTTCTGATAGTAAATAGTACAGATTCATAACTGTCTTGGGAAGAAAACCAACAATAATTAGTGTGTTGAAAGGACACGCTAATGTTTTTATCAAATTGTACAATATGCATAGAAATTAGTAAAAAAAATAGCAAATTCTCATGAAGCAGACAGTATCTTCCTCTGTGTTTATTTTGTTGAAGACCTGACTTCAAATGTAAACTTCAGAATTTCAAGATTACCATACGTTCTTTGCCTTCTGCGTTTGACAGGATGGCCTGGAAATTGTTTCCTGTTGTTTCCATCTCCTCCATTCAGGAAAAAAATCCTGGAATAGTGTAATGGAAGTGTCATGCTTTTTAAAAACATTTGCATTATGCTTGAGAACATACAGTTCCTGGTCATTTGTGTACTCAGTCAAAAATCATCTGCCTTTTATTAAGTGGCAAGTAAACTGGCATCAGAGAAATGTAGCCATTTTCTGTTCTTTATTAAGGAGTTTCCTTTTAATCATAATTGTAATTGTTATAGTAGATTCATTATTACAGTCATTGATATGATACCTTCTGATATCATCCATGTCAACAACGTTGATGTGTTCTGCTTTATCCTAAACATCTCAATATTTTCCAAAATGCTTAATTTTTATTATCAGGAAAATTATCAGTTTACAGTAACATTCACAGAACATGTCTATGACTGCTATTCAGACTACAAATTTTCTAATATTGACTGTTTAAGAAAAAATATCAAGTCAAAATGTAAAATATTCAGGTATTTAGGAGCAACTACTTGAAAACAGAAGCAACTGAAAGCAGTGGATAGAATTATATGTTGTACGGCTGTTGCTGTTATTCCTGCTATAATGCATAGTTTTCACTACAAAAGTAAAAGCATTACTTAACCATTTTTCACCAGTTTAAAAGGCAATACGAATAATGAACATTTTTCAAAATAGAAAAGAAAGAGTTCTGTATCTAGAAAAGGCTGTGAATTTTAGATTATAGCTGAGATTTTTTTTAGAGCCTTAGGAGAATGAGCTTTCTAACTTTATTTGACTTTCAAGATTTTTTAATTTCTGCAAGTACATAGAGTATTTTATTTTAAAGATTGAACTTTTGTCAGGCTTTGTTAGGCTTTTCTTTGAAAAATCTATTGTTCAAGCTATGCATAAACTGGAGAAGCAACAGAGAAAGAAAGAAGGCAAGACATGCGACAGGAGATTGATAAGCACCTGCGTAAACCAAATCGTTTCAGCAGTATGTTCCTCAATCTCAGTCATGAATTCCACAATAAATTAAAAATGCCTTAGGTAATTTGGAGCTCATAAGAAAGGGAGCTAGTATGAAAGGGATCCAGTAACTAGGTAAGCTTCCAGAGCTCCTCTGAAGGGGATGTCTGGGCAATAGCTTAATGTCATGCATCGCATGCTTGAACAGAAGTACTGGAAGATGCTTATTTGTTTCATAGGACTGCTTACTGTATCAAAGAAACTTTTTATCTAGGACAAGTAGAATGATGTTACTACTTTAGGAGACTTAGGTTTTCTCCTGTTCATAATTCTTGTAATTTCAAGCTGATGTGCAAAATACTTGGTATTTTCGTGTTTATGAAGACACTATTCTGTATCCACAATTTACTAGATGCATTCATTGTGTATATGAAAACATATACTCCATGGAGTTGTTTCATTAGTTTGACATGTTAAAATTGTATACAAGAATTATATTCAGTCTCCATGCATGACTCTAGTAGAGTCAGGCTATAAATAATAACCTCTGCTTTGTCTTTCATAAACTTTTCAGATGCCAAATAATATACTGATTATTAATGTTTCCAGGCTTTGCTCTCTGTACATGATACTGTTGCTCAGAAGAACTACGATCCTGTTTTGCCCCCCATGCCTGATGATATTGATGAGGAAGAAGATTCAGTTAAAATAATCAGGCTTGTCAAAAACAGGGAACCATTGGTAAGTAACCCTGTCTTTTGTTTTGTGGTTTTGTGTTTGCACGCAGAGTGGGGAGTGTTCAGGATATGAATGTGAATGGGTGACATTAACTTGAGGTGGATAGACGGACATTAGACATGTTTATTGATGACATTCAGTAATACACTTGTGACTTCCATTCGCAGTCGTTATTAGTAAAGCACATGAATAATAAGAATGTCTTCATTCATGGTGTTTGAGCATTATATATGTGGGCCAGTCTGAGCATTTAGATCAGTAATATATTCATCTTTTATCTTGAATTCAAATCATGAACTTGTTTTAAAATGAGAGAGGGAGAATGAATCCCCAAAGAAATCTTGACCTTTGTGGTGAACTGTGCCTGTTAGCATTCATGTTAAAAAAGTGACCTTTTGATACACTGAAAAGAAAGCATGAAAACATATTTTAAAATACTTGAATTGAAATCTGGGTGAATTTAAGATGTCTGTTGTTGTACTTTGGATTATGAATACTAGAAAGTTAATATCTTCATGGGGATATCTGGAAAAATGAAAGGACTAAAGCTAGGTTGTATTACAAGAATATTAAAATGCTTTACTGATTTGGTTATTTTTATTTGCTGCAGAGTGGGAGTCATCTTGTATAAAATTTAACTATATACTTTTTCTCCTGCAAACCAGTAAGAGCTTTGTTTTATGTTATACTGGATATTTGTTTTAATGGATAGCAATCCTGAAGAAATATCTGCAAAGTTACTTTGGGAGACATGATTTTGTACTTGAGATGACAGTGGGAGAGCAATGCCTCTGTTAGACATACAGAGGTAGCTTGTGTTACTATCACTCTTATTCTTGAAGGATTTCTGGAAGCAATAAACAAGACGTAAGTTTTGGTATTGACTGACTATAGGTGCCCATGGGCGTAATTAAAAGTTTCACCATATGGAAAAATTTTTACTTTGTTTTAATATGGTAAACGTTTTTTTTTCCCCAAATATGTAAATCACAGCTTTAAGCTTTCCTTTCTTTATCAAAGAAATTCTTTGAGGAAGAAAACAAACTTGCTTTAGG